GAGAAGAAATACTAAAAACGCTATCGGAGATTCTGAAGGCTCGTGTTTGCTTTTGGTGACAGCGGCATGTGCATGCTTCCGACAGAAATGTCTGACTATGGAAATGGGCAACAGAGGTTTGAAGGCTCCTAAGTAACGAGGAAAGTTTTAACGTCCAACACTGATGTTGCAGGTCTTGCAGCTGGGATCTTTCTTTGCATTTGCAGTAGACAAGCTCATTAGTTGGTGACCGGTAATTTCTGCAACTGTGCCGAGGGAGAGATCCACAGGATCAGTGTAAATTACTTCCAAAATAACATCCTGGGCATGATGGTAAACCATGACACCATCTTCTTCATCACAGGTCAGAAATTTATTATCTTTTATATTTAGTTGAGGAAGGCGCTGCTTACAGAATTCATCTCCTGGTGATCCAACAGGGGCAACAACAAGAATGACGTAGTGGTAGGCTGTGTACATGCAGTAGAAATCTCCAAAGTACAAGTTAGTGTTTGGGTTGAAGAGTTTTTCAGCTGCAATCTCAAACCTGTATCTTCCATAAGGTGAATCCTGTGGTGGCTTCCCAGTGTTAAACTCAGTGTTGCAGCTGAAGAAGATGCCTTCCAGCTTCCCACTGATTGGAGAGCCGTGGCTGCCACTGTTATCCTTAACAGAGGGCTGCATAGCATTCCCATGATGCTCTCTACAAATGAATGACTGGTATTGTTTATTTTGTAACACGTGTTAAAGAAAAAGTGGAAAGTTAGGTCGTCATGCTCTTTGGTAATAATACTGAAGGGACATAAAGGAACGTGACCTTAAACTGAGAAGTGTGGTTAGTGTCGTGATCTTAGAAGCAAGAAAACCAAGTAATGCCAGACTCAGAGCTAGAATAACTCCTGCGTAAGGGGAAAACCTACTTTTCCGGTCTGGCTGCCCTGTCAGCTGAGAGCTGTGTGGGTATTATGTGCAGGCAAAGAATAGCACAAACAAAAAAGCCCCCAAACCACCAATATCTTTAATTAGTTGATTTGTTCAGCTTTCCACTACAGTTCTAACAATAAACACATATTAGTTTAATCACATGTTGAAAATTGCAAGTCAGTCTCAATAAGCTGAACATACTGTTTGTTAACGTGTATTTTTAGCATAGGCAGTGTATATTTCACATAGGAAACTGCCAGGGAAAGTTGTTTCTAAATGATGCTTTTCAGAGAGTTTATAGGAACCAATTTACTGTCTGCCATTGTTTTTTTTCCCCAAATGGTAATTTCAGGTCTAGTTTGTCTACTGCTGACTTCAATCAGAGCAGAGCTGGGCACAGAATATTAGGCAATTTGGTTAGTTTCCACTTTGGTTGGCATCCAGCTTCTGCAGTCACTGGGCCTAAGGGGAAAACATGTAAAAGGCTAACTTTTTTTTTTTTCAAGCTGAGCTCCGTTTGCTTCCAGTGAAAAGAAACATTCAGTGCAACAAGTGAATTTTTAAACCCCTAAATCTCAAATTGCACTGGGCAGCATTAGGCTGCTGAATTCAGGAGAACAGTCCAAAACACCTCATCTAATCCTCCTTAGCACCTGAGATTTGGTGTCTAGAATCTGTGCCCAACAGCTCTCTGAAAATGCCATAGTGACAGCTTTGGCACTCTCTGCACATGCAACCAGGACATACCAGAAAGGGAAGCATTCCCGTTCGGAAGTCCTGCAACAGCATATTTACTAAGCACCCTATGAAAGTGCCATTATACGCAGTGACAGATCAAAAATGCATGAAGGCTTTGGGGCTGGAGAGTCTTTCATCCACCTCTTGCTTTACTTTTTTTTATTTTTGAGGAGAGAGGAAACTAGCCAAGAAAGCCTGTCTTCTCCCTCACGCTGGTTTTAACTTGCAAGAGCACCAGGTAAATGGTACTGTGGGGGAGAAGGTTTTACTTGGTTAAAGTAGGAGTCAAAGCAAACTAATTCAGGCATACACATACAAACCAGCTCTAAGATAAATTACAAAGTTTTCTGGCCATTCAAATGCTACAGTTACTGTCTCAGGCCCTTTCTCACAAGACATTGACTGGGGAGCATGGCGGGGGGGTGGGGTGGGGTGATACAATGAATATTTTATTAATATTCCTATTACTAGGAAGAAAAAAAAAAACCCCAACAAAATCATCTTGAATAACCCCGGTCTCTGCAACTTGAAAATCCAGGCCTCTTGCAGTGCCATTTCTATGGCAAGATACTGACATCCAGTGGCCAATTAGGCTAATTATAGGTCACGCTTCCTGGGAATCTGAGCTGCTCTACGGAGCTCCCGGCCGAGGTAAGCAGCAGAGTGACATGAACACTGCTTACAAGCTCACACTTCAAACCCTGCATTTAGGGGTTGCTGCCTTAGCACCGTGACAGTTGCTTGTTTGCCAATGCTACTAGAACTGCTCTATAAGCTCTCCCAAGCTTGTTTACTAGTTATGACACCACGGAAGCCATTGGCAGGTATGCTGTGACAAGGAATTTTTCCTAAAAGGAAGCATGCGGTTAGGGTTTTTAACATAACATTTGGAATTGTGCATTGTGGAAGGACTGGCCCTTGTGACCATATTAATGCATACTGACCTGATGAAACACAGCTTTTTGTCTCTATAACTCACTAATGCAAGGGAAAACAAACTTACCTCTATTTGTATTGACTCAATAAAGAACATAACAGGAAGGAGGGGAATAGATACCATGCAATCAGGGTCACATTTGGCAGAACAAGGCCAAACCCACAGCTATAAATGCACCTCCACAGCAATTTTCAAAGCTCTATGAACACAAAGGCAGGTGACTATGGTCACAGCTGAAAACAAAGCTATAGGAGACCCAGAGCCACCATAGGGTTTTCCCTTCTGTGGTATCTATCTAGTCCAGGATGGGAACAGAGATTTATGAAGTCCTCAAAAAGCCTCAACAACTGCAATTCATTTTCTACCTCCATGGAGTTTTTTGCAGCTCTGTCACTATGTGCAATAAAACAATACTTCCAAAACACAGAGGGAAAGAGCAAACTCCATGCTCTATAATATACACAACATTTCTGGAATTTAGCAGATGATACCGATGACTACAACATGTGGACATCTCCCAGGGTGGTGGAGTCTGCTCTTTGGCATTGGATTCCCTTGACTATTTTTTCTTCTTCACCAGTTTTAAAAAACCTTCCAGCTCTAGACAGGTGCTAGTGTGACACCCGCAGGAAACTGGAATCGTGTTTCCAGTTTGTATGAGCAGCAGCCTCGTCTCTCAAAGAAGCACAGTCAGTGCTGCCACCCGTCTGACACAGTGCTGAAACAGCTTTCGACACACCACTTACCTATCAACCATGTCCTCCTAACAGTGGAAGGTTACCTCTGCATGGTGACTGCTCCTGCGCAGTCGGTGCATGAGCCTTGACTCCTTGTAACGATGCTTCCAGATGCGTGTACAAAGGCACACGGGATGTCCAACAGGAATAAGGAACCTACCTCCAGCTATCCCATTTATCCATTCCAGTTGAAGCAAACTATTGTAAAAATTGTCTAAATATCACCCCATTTCCTTCCCCACTTGAGCTGTAAATTAACATTTGGATTTCAGACCCCCAGTTACTACATTTGGAAATAGAAATGGGGTGGTTGTATGTGGAGAGGAAATATTTGAGATGGAACTCTTACATACAGGCACATGCTTTCACACACTGTTGTGCACTCTTACTATTGGACATCTCACTCTAAATTTCTTAGCACACTGGAAGTACTTGGCTACTAAACACTCCATTATGACCACAGACACTTTAATCAGGCTGGAGACCTTCTGTGTACTTCAGTTTCTGCTTCAAAACACAAACTTTTATTCCCTAATGGAAGTGCTGAGTTAAGCAAGGTGGAAGAAATGAGTTGTTATATTTTTTTTTCCCCTTCTGAACTGGCAGATAAAGCATACAGATGACGTGCTCCAGCTTTAGCACAGCTGTCTCCATTTACTTATTTTCATTACTCCCTTAATTTGTCAAACAATGTTGCATATGTTTACTTCCTTACCTGACATAATCAAAGTATTCTTTGTGCTGATTCCGATAAAAAACAGACATTTTAAGCATACGGCCTGCAATCACTTCAGCTTTTTCCAATAGCTGTGTTAGGTGAACTTTTGAATAATCTGGAAAGAAAAGACAATCTGCTAGTATGGTGGCAAGAAAACCCACAGTACCCTCCAAAATCTATGCAGACATGCAGCAGGGAACAGAGCCTCAGTAACATACCTCACATCATGCAGCAGCACCAGTTTCCAATGGTGGCAACAGACAAATGGCAGGAACATGCATGGTTGATTCTCCCCACTCCTTTCCCTGCAGATACTCTGTAAACCTACAGCAACTTTCAGCTCAGAATTCCCTGTGTTTGTTAGAGCTGGTTTCCTTGTATTTGGAACTGCAAAGGAGCTGAGAACTGGCCTCTCTGGATTATGCCATTTGATCAACTGTTTGCTACAATGTGCACAGTTGCGAGACAATAACAGTTAAAATAAAAATAAAAATAGCTTGCTTAGGACCCAGTCTAAACAGTATCACAGCCAAGACGGGATTCAGAGAACTCACTTGGTACTCAGCTTTCACACAGGTAAGCACTGTGGCACTAGGTGATGAACAGCCAAAGGAAGACTTACTATTTGACAGGCTGAACTGATTGTCAAGACAGGGTGTTGGTAGTGCTCAAGCTTTGCAGGATCCAGAGATGGGAGAGCAGCAGCAGGTCTTAAGTAAGCTATCTGCTAGGGAGCTGCCACACTGTGTTTTCTCCACAGATGCTAGTATCCAGCAGCAGGCACACGAGTGGCTCTGCTACACTTTGGTTCATGAGCCTGCTTCCTACCCTGGCACAAGCAGTGGTGCCAGGCACAGCCCTCTGGAGCAGCTACACTGCTGCAAAACAAAGGGCAGTCCAGCTGCCTCTCATTAAAACACCAAACCTGAGCACATGCAAAGCCTGAAGTCAGAATTCCAGTTTCCAGGTGTGACTATTCTAACTCTACCAGCCTAGCTGGCACTGGTAGACAGCTAAACCACTCAGGCAGCATAGCGAACGTTAATTAAATACATCCTGTGGTGCGTGTTTCCTCAGCAATATTACCTGCTGTGCAAAACTCGATGATTTCACTCCACTCAGAAACAACATAATCACCATCAACTTGCTTTGAAGCTGTCTGCACTGCTACCGTGTATTCTGTTCTTGGGCTCAAGAACCAGTGCCCACGGACTGTCATAGGCAAAGGAACAGCTTTGGCCACCAATTTTGTAGGGACATCCTGACAGAAACAAAAAGACAAAGCAATACACAAGTCAGCATGCAACCCAACCAATTCACAACCCCTTCCTTCATTGTTTTTGCAATGTAATTCCCAACTCCTGGCTCTCCTGCATAAACCTTAGTTATATCTCACAGTTGATTGCTGCAGCAGTGAAAAAAAATAAATTTAATATAATAAAAATAACAGAGTGGCAGAGGACGACGGTCTACGGTCTGCTCCAAAAGAGCTATGGTGATAACTTGCATGTATATTATTGGTTCCAAGTGACTACAGACTGATACTATTATATATAGCCCAAACATACGGACGAGGGCCATTTGTGCTAAATGATCAAACGAACAAAGACACGCTACTGAGCTCAAGGATATCTTTAAGAGCTTCTTGTGCTCTCATTGCCATTGTTTTCTTTCAGTCAAACACAATTCCTCCTGCTGTCAATGAGTCCACTTATATTGCTGTCGCTGTCTTCCAAATCAAACCTCAACAGAGAAAATTAAACCCATTGCAGAGTAACTTTGTGTGGTTTACATGTATCAAAATACCCTTATGTACAGGAATGGCCAGAACAAGCCATATAGCCAGACAGTTTGTGCCTGCCATTGCACCTCTTGCTTCCCGCCCCGTCACCATTTCAGATGCTCTGTTTTGCTCTTCTGGTGTATCACAGCACAGTGCAACAAAGAAGAATAGCTGCTCGTTGTTGTTGAAATGCCTCATCTCCACAGTATCAAAGACTGTAGCACAGATCACAAAGGGGAAGAAAAAACTGAAGAACTGGGCAGTTCATGCTAGAACTGTGGGTGAAAGGATGCTCAGTGAAGTTGAATTATTCTCCGCAGTGTAGCCAAGGAGCTGTGATAGAGAGAGGTATATACTCTTGGATATAACAGTAATCACAGAATAGTAAGATGGCTGCTCTGTGAAAAGCAGGAACTTTAGGTAACATCCATAGCTCTCCATTTATAAATACTAGTCCATAGTCATCTTACAAATACCAGCATAATTAGTCTCTTAAGGCAAAAAGAAATAGAAAAGAGACATTTTCTGCTCATGATCTGTAAGCAAGACCCAAATTTTTTTTTTAGTTTTTTTTTTTTTTGCTTGTCTTCTATTATTGAAAAATATCTTTCTTTTATTGTTTTTCTGTTAGCAAAAAATATTCTTCGGTTTCTGTATTAAGAAAGCGTAAAATTAGCAGCTTGTGATATTACAAGAACTGAAATGTGGCTGACTGATAATCAAGGGTAACATTTTGTTGTCATGATTTCTTTTTTGCTAATTCTTATTTAAATCAAATAACAGTTGGGAAAAATTACAAGGAAAAATAAACAAACCTCCCAAATGACATTTAAAGCTGCCATCCTGGAACTGTCTTGCAAAGGCACCCCACTGGACTGAATTTGTTACTGCTAATGCTGCCAACAGCTGCGACAGTGACAATCATTAGTCTTCCTGTCATCTTTTCTTTGGCTGTGGTAAAAATTGCCTCCAATGGGGTAAGGTCTCTGTGCCCACACACTGGTGATGGCTTTTACCCCCATAAATTTTGTCAGTTTTTAAATAACTTTAAAAGCCTCATTGCTCCCATGCATCAAAGCCTTACCTTTGAGCTGTGTATCAGGAAACTCTTCTAACTGTACCAAAAAAGGGACAGACTACCTAAAACCACATTAAACAGAGGGCAGAGGGTTTTATCTCTTGCACAGCTGTGGAGAAGGGGCAGATATGATGCTTTTCAAAACTCTAGTTGCTCTTTTTCTAAGCAAACACTTTTTTTTCCTTTTATTATTTTTTTTTTCAGGTCACTGACCTCAGGAAAAAATGTTCAAATGTGCATGTTGGAATTTCTCTGGGGATTCTCCATTTTTTCTTTCATCTCTTCTCTGCTCAGCTCTCATTCCTGGCTGAGCCCCCAGAGAAGTGCAAAGGAGGTCATATGGCACTTCAACGACAGTCAGGATTCTGGTGCAGCAGATGGCTGCTCCATCACCAGCACCCACCAGACAACTCTAAATCTATCTAAATGGCAATAATTTCCAAGAATGACCTGGAAACACTGAATAACTAATATACGAGTCACACCACCTCTCTCCTCTTTGGGAATAGATGCCTGCTTTACAGTTCCTTTTCGTTGCCAAAGCAGCAGCTTTCAATTTTCAGCTTTGACTTTCTCCCATTTCATCTTATCCTTGTCTTTGACAGGTCTGCTCATAGGACGCATTGTGGGAACTAAGCACACCTAGGTTCTAGTCCTAGTTTTGCTGACTATCTTGAGCCTCATTCCCTATTACATGGGAAGAATCACACTTCCATGTCTTAAAAAAGAAAAGAGGTATGCAAATTGCATTGAGAAAAAGACAAGGCTCATTGGAATTTTAGTCTTTGCAATACTACTACCAATAGCAACCTCCTCCTTCACATATATGACGATAGTTTTAAATAATAAAACTGTATGTACCCTAAATATGCTGAACAGACTTGCAAATATATTTGCAAACAGAAAAAAGTATTGAAAGGATGATGAATCATGCATGTATGCTCTTCTGGGTACACAAGGAAAAAAAGGGCCCCCTTTCCTGAGGTACAGTATCTATCTATCAGGTTAAGTCTGTATCCCAGGTCACTTGCTCCTCACCCTGTGAGCAAATTGAGACTGCTAACTCACTTTTCTTTCTGAAAAGCTCTGCTACAAGGGACAGTGATATCCTTTACCTTTATACAACAGCTTAGTTTACGAAGGCAATGGATGGGTGGAGAACGATTCAGTTCCCTCTGAATCCTGGGAGGTTCCAGTCCCTGGTGCTGCAGCTGCCAGGTGATCAGCTTCCTACCCAGCAGGCCTGCCACTGAGTTTCAGCTATGGAAGTCGTATATCTAACATTATAAGGAGGAAGGATGCTTGTCTCCAACCATACTAGGGTTAGAACACATTTCAAATTTGAGCAAGTTTTAATTTCTCAACAAAAGCTCATTCTAGAAAGTGTGTTAAAAGTTACTTGCTACTGAAGATGGACGAAAGCAAACACATACGTACTCTGGCACAGAAAGTTGTTACTCAGTTCTCTTGCCCACCCTGTCTGCACCATTCTGGCAGGGGGCAAAAGAAACAAAAAAGTCCCAAATGTACAAATGAATCTTTACCTGGTACCAAGAAGTTTTAAGTTAATTCTCGTAAGACATCCGACTTACTCATCATTTTAATTGATAGACTTTAGTCTGCTGTTCTTACAATACCAACTACCACTCTCCTTTGACTGAACAGTTAATTAGGGGATTGCTGAGAAATACAAAACAAATCTAATCGCTTATCTTTATTACACTACCAGTATATATCCCTCCCCTCCACTTTAACACTAGTCTCATCACTATGATATAGATTTTGAGGTATATATAGTATTTGACCTGCCAAGGTGGCTCTACTTTATACAAAATCAGATTTTACAACTTTACACCAGTTTGCACATGAATTAAAAAAAACAAAAAAACCAACGAAAAAACCAAAACACCCCATGTAGATTAATAAAATAAAAGGCATCTGTGCCATATCTTTTAGAGATTTGCCAAAATAGTTTCTAAATTTGCAGATGATTGTGTTGTTTAATCTTCTATCTCTTTCCATGTTTCCATGGACATGTCAGCATTTCAACTGTTCTGAGGTCAAAGCAAATTTTGCTGGGCTTGATAAGTACAGATTCTGCAGTGTATTCAGTATGTCCCTGCATCAGTGGCTTGAGGAAAGCGGACAGATGAATATTCAGGTCACAGTGCTGAATGCTGCAAACTAAAATTGCTGGAAGCCTTCTAGAAGTGCATTAGAATTTGTGACTCTTCTGTTGAAAAGATGTCCTTGCTCAGTGACACACTCAGGAAGCAACACAGGCACAAAACACATAAACTGTTTAAATAATGAGTAAGAACTAGTCGGGAATAAAAATGTCTGTCTTGTAATACATTGTACAGGTTCAAAAACTGTTTTCAAATGAAGTAGGAAAGGTAATGTTCAGTCTATATGAAATGAATGCATTTGTGTGTACACACACACAGGCTAGAGATGGTGAACGTATTCAGAGTAAAAAAAATAAAAAATCAATCAGATTATCAAAACCCACCTTGCTGGATGTCCAGTACCTGTTCTTATGGTTTGGCTTTGAAAGGTCAATAAAACACTGAGATTCATTCTACTTAAACTTGAGATTTTAAAAGGAAAATTACCTTGTGTTTAAATTTGTTGGAATTCTTGTTTTCTTTCTTGTTGAGATCAATGAAATAATGAGTAATGCGGTCCTTGGATTTAGAATCCATGTCCCAAGAAATCTTGAAGGAATCACATGTGATGTTACTTATTTTGATGTTGTGTGGCACTGGAAGTTCCTCCATCTCTGCAATCCCACTGTCTTGCGATTTATTCCCTGCATAAAAAAATAAGCACAATTTGCTCATTTAAAGACCTATTAGGTGTCTGTTTCCTGTGTTCCAGGATAATCCCATTTCTCAGTAGCCTTTAACAAAGTCTCATAGGTGGTACTCAGAAGCAACTGAGTTACAATTATGCAAGTGTCCATGTCAGTGATGGGAAATATTGGAAAGGGATGAAATTCCTTACATGAATAAGCACTAATAACATGTAAGCAGGCCACAGAGATAGGATAGTATCACAACTGTGTGCAGACGCAGTTGGAGAATTAAAAACATCTGAAGCTATCTGGTACTACAGTGTTTAATTAAGATGGCAGCAACATCCGCAGTTCACATAATGGGCCTATCCATACCTGTCAGTGAGATAAATACAAATAGAAATCATATTCATCCTAAATCTATTTTTTGAGCACAAAGTAAAACCAATCTCTTCAAGGTTTATAGACAGCATGTGTATGTACACATATACATAAAACACTGTCTCCTTCACAAAGAACCAATTAACAGTGATCACCTTTTTGAGCCACAGTAAAAGGGACATAAGCACCAATTTCATTTTCTGGTCTATTCTTTATATTTTATTTGCCCAGTTGAGATCCTGCAGTTTTCTTGGGAAGTTTTTGCTAATATTTCTAAATGTATATGGTAGATGAACAAATGACCATTGACCCCAAAAAGCATCACAGGTCCTAAAATTAGGTTTTCCCTTAGTTCCCAAGGCAGCCTTGTAGTAGAGCAGCCCATGAACATTAAAACTCAGAAACATCAGATGATCTTGCACTGCATAAGACGCAAATCAAAAGTGAATAAAGAAACAATTTAAAAAAAAAAAGGCAAAAAATATGAGAAAAATGAGTGGGTAAAAAGGAAAAATTATAGAAAATTATGTAAGAGAAGGGGTAAAGAAACAGCATAAAAAATAGAAAATAATAATCAAACATAGATAAGAACAGAAAGAAACAAAAGAGAAAAACAAGGCTAAAGTCTGTGTAAGAAAGAAAGCTTCCAAATTCTGTCCAGATGAGGAAGACAGGAAGCTCATGCAGAGATGTGAGGCAACACACTGTCAGGATTGTTTTTAGTCACATGTAATTACAGAAAAAGATACTATTTATACTTCCATCATAACTGATGAAAAACTGGACACAGAAGGTGAGTCTAGTCAGAAAAAATAATAATAATGTGACTTGAAAACATTAGGGACATTTTAACCTCCCAACATACTCTGTCAAAGAATTATACCAACACCGCAATGCAGGAATATTAAGGCCTCATTGCTCAAAATTCTCATGGATATGAGAAACGCAATCACAGAGTTTGCAAAATCCACAGCTTTCCAGCTAGTATTCAAAATAAAGTAATTTTACTGATGATTTCAAGAACCAAAAATAACACTTCTCTATTTTTGTTCCATTTTGTGCATTTACATCCAACAGGTTGTCTATTCTTCAAACTTCCTATTGCATTTTTTTTTTTGCCTTCTCAACTACTATCAAAGTCAGATAGCGCATGGTCTTGCTCAAAATCCTACCCTATTTGTGCCATTCACAGCGACATTTTCGGCCAGCTGGACTGGCTGCAGTAAACTCAGGAATAGCAGTCATTACTGAAAGCTTTCTGTTCACATGAAATACATGGTAAATGCTTTTCCCAACATGAGATTTCAGAGAGCCAGTAGGGAGAAAATGGCACTGCTTTCTTTTATAAGCATTTTGTATTTGAAAAATGACTGAAAGCTCTACCAAGTACACTGAAAAGGCTACATATGATCACTTGCCCAGGAGCAAGGTTCTGTGTTTAAGCAGAGGACAGAGTGATGCTGTTGCAGTCTAGCAGAAAATCTTCAGGTAATTTTTAGCAACATTTTAATATCAGTCTGAGAAAAAGAAACCACTTGCATTACCGAGTGCTAAGCTATCCTTTTCTTTATGGTGGAACAAAATCCAAAATAAACACTTCCCTGAAGCATTTAAAGCTCTTTGAGAGTGGAAAAAAATAATTTCACACATTTCAAAATACAAACAGAATATGAACAGAATATTAAATAAGAAAGTAAAATACCTCACAATCATCACCAGCAAGCAATACTCCAAGTTTCTACTAAATAGAAGTTTCCCTTCTGTTTAGAATATGAAATATCTGTGATATTTGTAATACATACTTCTATTTTGATACATATTTGTGTAGTCTTGAATGTCAAAATCCATTGAATTGACAGGCAGTAATAGGAACCTGATAATGATACACAGTACTAATAAGGAAGAGGATGATTCAGTGAGCATTGGTAAGTGGTGACTTCTGAATAGCAACCAGTATACCATTGCATTGGAACAAGATAAAAAAGGACAGAGTATGCTCTTCCTCTCTTAGATTTGACTGATTCTAGGAGCCAAACATGCAGTGACCAGCCTTGACCATGCAGCAGACACCCTAGCATTCAGACCACCAAGAAATTTTGAAGAAGCATTATCTTGTAAAGCATAAGCTTTAATTGGAATCTAGGTCTTGAAAAAAATAGTGCTTTTCAATGTCTGGAACAGCATTTTGTCCTGAGATGTACTGCAATATAACATAAAAATGTGAGATAGAGTGCTTGACATGACTGCACCCTGATTAAGATGACAGGATAGTACAGAAGGAGAGTAAGAATATCCTATCAAGTCTGGTAACATATGTACATCATTTATAACAAGCACATAATCCTGAATATTTCCATTAGAGTTTATTACAAAAGCATCACAACTACTATAATACACAGTTATATATTATATGACAAAATAGTAAGAATGGGCAAAATTTTCAATAGCACAAGGGTAACTGGGCTAAATTTAGAATATAAGTGTTTAAGAAAATACTATCTGCTGTTAAAGTGGGGGTTCAATTAGGCTGTGCTAATATTGTCATCCAAACCACTTAAAAATGCTGGCTGCTGCAAAACACTGCTTAGCAGACTACCTGCTACTTAAAACTGGAGACTTCAAGGATGTTGTAAGTGTACTATAGGTGTCATGGAGATCAAAACCTGACAGATATAACTGACTAAAAAGGTAACACATTTGTACCTTGCCTTTTTTCCACTTGTGCTTTGGTGAGCATTTTGAACTGGTTTTCATACTGGAAAGCATGTCCACTTCAAGCCAGTTCTTTATACCGGGATCAGTTTGATGAATAGATCAACATCAGGAAACAGGGTATCTACTAAGAACAGAAAGAGCAGCAGAACTTACTCAAAACCAGCATATAGTTGCCCTAAAGCACTCCAAAACTCCAGCTGATATGGATGTGAAAATAGGTGGAGAAGGACTAAGATCTGGCTGCTTTCATGTTAGTCACTTTGCCACTTCACTGAGGCTAAATTGATCTTTCTTTGATGAAGCATCACAATACAGACAAAAACTAAGCATGAAAGTTGTGCAGGAAATGTTGCTCTGAACAGCTTCATATAAAATTAAAACAGATTAGCTTCCATTTAAAATGGCTGCTTCGTTTTGCACATTCACGTTGCTTCAACACTGGACGCCACTGTGGGACCAGATAGAGACACTGTTTTCAGGTGTTTCTTGGGCAGAAGGATATAGCACTAGTAGTCAAACCCACCTATTCTCCCCTGCCAAAAATCCGAGGCGTGTCATCCCTGTATGCTGCAGAAACACCTCTGTTTTAGCAAAAAACCAGTTCACTTTTAGAACAAGTAAAAAGGTCCAGTGATTCTTGACCCACATAATAAGAAGACAAAGACCACTCGTGTGTGCATAGGTCACACTGGAAGCAAAAGATTTTAAATTTCCTGAAAGCCAAAGAATAAATACAACACACCAGCTTTATTGAGATCAGCTGGAGAGCTGCAAGATTAATGTTTTATGCTCCTATTCACAGGCTTATCTCTCTCTGCCATATCCAGAGTTAAATTTCAAGTTAAATTGTCTAATCAATTTTAAAGCAGTTATGATACTCACTGCTGCAGCTGAGCCAAAATGCTGGCAAATGGATAACAAATCAATTTCATTTATATACACATAGACACACTTAATTTAGTATCCTCATTATATCTTCTACTTACAGAAATTATCTCTGAATGGGAAAAAAAAAAAAAAAGGCAGAAAATTCCCATTGAAAATTCATGGCTTTCATCTGTCACTACTGGAGACAAATGATGAAGACTTGGTATTTGTTAAGTCCACACTGAAAAGAGCTGGAAAAGGATGGTGTGGGTTTTTTTTAATTTGCCTCATCACTCAAACCAAGTTGAACCCTTACATCTGAGGCAGTGGAAGGATGGTGAAAAGAACCTTAACACACCCTCTGCTTGGTAGTTACTGAACATTCACAATTGCTAAATTTTTATCAATTTAGAAAACTTGATCATTTTTTTCCCCTTAGTTCTAAAACCAGGTAACTTCACAGCAGGGCAAGGGAGTACCTGCCTGCTGATTTTTGATTTCATATACAAACTGTTAGTTATTCACAAAAGAAATCCTGAAAGGTCTAGTTTGTAATCCACCCTCTAAGCATAGTTACAGCTCACAGAAGTGAGGTTTATGAAACTAGGCCAATAAAATAATACATTTCCAGATTCCTGTGACCTTGCTTATAGAAGTTTCAACTCCTAGTACCTTGGCAAACAAAAACACTAACAATGGAAAAAAAATTAACTGAAGCAGTATGATATACTTTTAATGAAAATATAGAATCCCTATACAGACATTCCATAGTTCAAATATTATTATTTAGTTGGAAACATTAAAAATAGGGGCTCATGCTGAAAGGCTGTATACCAGACATGCTGCAGTAGAACTCAAGAACTCCTAAGTATTCAGAACTCACACAATTTGTATTCAGCAATCAAATCACACCCTATTTCCTAACTCCATCCATAACATTAATATGCCACCTTTCACAGCATTAACTGTGTAGCTTGCTGAACTATGCAAGCATGAAAAATTATCCAGCAGTCAAGAAACAAATTCACAGAATACAGAACCTGCAAATGAC